CGTATACTGGAAAACATGGGTCTGATTCACATACTCACTAAACAGCTAGGGATTCTGAGCTGCCGACTGAGCAGCAGAGTATAGGGGGAGAGGCCAGACACTCAGGCAATGCAGGCTCTGCACAGGGATGCTCAGCCAAGGGGGTTCCCTCCTGGGCTTGACTCTCGAGCCATATACCTTCACAGGAACGGTGTCCGCCTGAATGAAGATGTGACTTTACTGATTTGTGCAAAAGCGCTGCTACACACACGCTGGTAAATGGAGGTTTGCTGTCAGGACTTTCTGTGTCCCTTCTTTAATGCCTTGGGCAAGTCACTTCATTTCCCTGAGCCTGGACTTCTTCATCTTGTTTTGAAGTTACACAGTTTAAGTGGGTCGTACTCCATGGCCGCTAACCAGTGGTCCATCTCTGGCTCGCTCGCTCGCTCTCTCACTCAAGTTTTAGGGAGCACAGAGATGTGAAGTCTTGGTCCCCACCTACTTGAAGCTCATAGTCTGATGGAGAAGATAGGGACTCATGGAGAAGATAACACAAAGCAGGGTGATGAGTAGTAGAGTCAGAAGGGAGAGGCTCTGAGGACGGAGAAGTCGTTGTCAGCTAGAGGCGATGATGATCTTGGCCCTGCTAATAACTAGCAGTGTAATAACGATCCTGTGACAACAATAGCCTGTGCTAATCAATGAGTGCCTTCTACCCATCAGGCACCGTGTGAGGCACTGTCGCTGGGTGGCCTCTAGACCCCCTGAGAGGTGACTGTCATCCTCCCATTTTACAGGTGAGAGTGGTCAGGAGCAGAGGTGAACTGGACTTTGCAGGGTTGATAACATTTTAAGAGGCAGAGATGCAGGAAGGAAAGTCATGAGGCAGAGGAGAGAAACTGATGGGCATGTGTAAGGAGTGGGCATAATCTGGGGAACCAGAGGCTCCAGGGATGAGGACACCATCAGAACTTGAGGTACAGGTTGCTGGAGGGAGAAGAAGGTTGGGTGGTGGAGATGATACGTGGGAAGCTGAGTCCCCGAAAACCACCCAGAGGCAGACAGTTTAGGTTTTTTCCCAGTAGGAGAACAAAGGAGGCCAGGGCCTGGAGGGGACGGTGTGCGCAGGCTGTACTGAGCTGTCCCATTGAATCCTGCTGGTCTGCTGGTCTTTCTGTCAAGAGAGGTAAAGCAACTTGCCCATGGACGCGGGTTTCTCCATCCAACTCTGAGTAGTACTGGGACTTAAATTAATAACACACTGAGATTTTGATTTGTATTGATTTTCATAGAGCATGGGTAATGATTTTTTTTTTAATAGATTTGACCAATCTGCAGTATACACATGAGGCCAACCTTCCCAGAGGCAAAACGGAAAGCCAAGGGGCCCTGAGCAAGTCTTTTTCCTTCCATCTTTACCAATCTCCCCAGACTCTAATGACCCTTTTCTTTTTGACCTTATGGGCTTTCACCACCATTCCTTGACAGGAGGGATTAAACATTCTCCAGGCAGGGGAAGAGAAGAAAATATCCACATGGAGTCCTGCCCCTGAGGAGACTTTCCCTTGATGCATGTGGGAGACACCCAGCTTGGCTCTGAATTGGTGGGAAGACCTCCGCCCACAGAAGTAAAGTTCTTAGCCACAGAGCTGTTATCCTCTGGGTGGGTCCCCCCCACCCACCAAAAAAGGGAGGGAGAGAAGAGAGGCCCAGGGGGCCAAAAACCTGGATGGCTGCCCTGAATTCTTCCTCTTGGGGGAAATGGAGGCTTCTCAAAGTGTGAAAAAAAACCCACATACAAGCAAGGGAGAGGCTCCAACATCCCACATGTCTGCCTTGGGCCAGGATGAGTACCACCCCTTGAAAAGATTGGCTTCTGCAATTACAAGTGAATAAACAACCAATTAAAATGTCTCCCCTGCCCCACCTCACCCCACCTCTTCCTCTCACGAAGCTTTCCTCAGCCTAGAGCAACAGGGCAGAGAGGTGACTTTGTCTAATAACATCTGTGTCCTCTGCCTGAGAGAATGCTTGATGGAAATGGACAAATCAATTAGAAAAAAATAAATAATGTGGAAAGGGCTGATCCAGGAAAATCTCGGCTTCTCTTTGTTTTCCTTCGCCCCCGCATTGTTTCCCTTTGCACCGTGGCCCTGCGTGAGCCTGGAAATGAGGGAGAGGCTGTGGGAAGAATTGGACACATCGAGATTTGCGCTTGGCTTTGTCACTATTTATGTGATCTCTGAACCCTGTTCCTTCATCTGCGAGTTGGGGATGAATGATGGGAATAGTTAAACGCTAACTGAGCCTTTCTACATGCCAGGTGTTGTTCTAGGTCCTTTACACCTCCTTTATTACGTCCCAAATCCTCCAGGCAACCCGATGAGATAGATGGTTTTGTGTGTACAGAAACCGGGGCCCAGGCAGTGAGGTAAATTGCCCAGGACGACCCACACATCTGGTGGAGGAGCTGGATTCGTACCCAGGAGTCTGGCTTGAGAACAAGTCATCCTACCCACTATGTTGCATGACTTCAAATACTGCAGAGATGGGACGAGAGGTGTTTGTTAGCATGGGGACTAGCATACAGCAAGCGCTTAATAAATGCTGATTTTCTCTTTCCTCTTTCCTTCTCTGATCACAGAGTAGACTGGCCAAAACTCCTTGTGCGGCTTCCAGGCTAAGAAGGTGAAGGTTAGGATTCCCAGGGAGAGAAAGCGAGGCAGGAAGATTGCGGGTCAATATCTGAGCGTGTGGTCATCCTTGAAATTGTTCAGTTCAACCCAGATATAGCTATGACCTCTCTTGGCCCTGTCTGTATCTCTCACTCATGTTCACCTTTTTTTTTTTTTTTTTGGAAAGCCAGGAAAAAATTATGGTCACATGATCAATTATAGGCTCTTGATGCTATAGGGGATGAGGAGGGCTCTCTGGGTCTCCTATGTATCTATTCCCATTGGAGCAGAGGTGTGGGCCCATGACCCATAGGAATGCTCTGTGGAGCTAATTCCAGTGAATTAGCAAGGAAGCTGAGGCCTCATAGAAAGGAGACTGGGACCCCAATATTTTAGCTTTGTTCTTTCCCAGTATAAATTCAACCCCATCAATGTCTACTGAGTGCTGGCCCCGGGGGCAAGCCCTATGCTAAGAACTCTGTAAACAGAAATGGATAAGGCATGTTCGCTGCCCCAGGGAGCCACGGATGGTGGTGGACATAGACAGGTGTCATGATGATTTGGAACAGTGTGAGGACGTGTACTTATGGGAGGTGGATGAGAGTAGAGATGGCAAAGGAGGCAGATGAGAAATGGGAGTCAGGGTAGCCTTCCTTGAGGAGCAGTACCAGCGTGGTCTTTGGATTTGTTCATCAGAGGACAAAATGCTGAGCAGAGTCCCTAACAGAGGGAACATCGCAAGTGAAGGCACCATGGATGGCGCATTATGGTGGGCGCCCCCAGCCCACAGTGGGAAATTCAGGAGAGGGAGCTGGGAGAGATGGGGCTGGAGAGGGAGGCAGCATATTGGAAGCCATGCTGGGGACCTTGGACTTAGGTTTCACATACAGGAGCCCTTCTAAGACTCCAGGAAGGAAAGAGAAGGGAACTATCACAAGTGTTCTACCAGCCAGGACTGTGTCAACCCCTTACGGACAGATGGACAGATAGCATTATGAAAAAGGAAACCACTTCCAACTCATTGTGTGACCTAAGTGAGGTCTGAAGCTTAAGTCTCCTTTCCCTCCTCTGGAATATAAGCCTCATAATACTGCCTACCTCAGTCATGTTGGGAAGATTAAAGGAGATCATCTGCATAAAGTTGGACCACATAGAAGGGCCAATCAAACATAAATATCATTTTTCATAGACTTCACCTTACCTGCTACATCAAGCTGCCTACTTGCTTGTTTATATATGTTGTCATTCCTTTATTCATTCATTCATTTCCAACCTTACTCAAGAAATGATCTTCAGCTGCTCACAAGGATACATGACAGCAGACAGAAAACGGAGGCTGAGACACTCAAGAGAGGGGAGCCAAATGCCTCCGTTGATTTAGAAAATGATCCATTGAGTAATATGCCTGTGACTGATGGAAAGCTTTAGCATTCCAGTGTTTATAGGGGAGCCATACTCTGTGGAGGAGGAGTTCTTACTTACTGAGTGTCTAGGATGTGCCCAGCCTCTTTTCAAAGACCATTTCTTTCTCTCACCAACATGCGTTCATTCTATCTATTAAGGAGCTGCTGATGATAATGGGGAGTTGGTTCACTTTACTGATCTGTCCATCTAAAGTGGCAGCCACTCCAAATACAACACCCCTCTCTAAGGGATTTTAGGTTCATTTTACAGGCAAATAAATAGAGGTTTACAGAATACAGAATCACCTGGGTGTGGGGACAGCATGATGCCCGGTGACAAGAGCATAATTTCCATGGTAGACAGAATTGGCCTTGAAACCCTGTTCTACAACTTTGAGCAACCTGTTTAATCACACGTGGGCCACAGGTTCCTTATCTTGAAAACAGCAATAATGCATCCCTGCAGGGTTGGTACAGACGCAGGGCAGGCCTCTAGTGCAGCTCTGTATTTGCCTCCCATAGTGAATGAGTGAAATAGAGAAGGAGCCAAGACTAGAATACACGTTGTCTTTTCCATGGTCGGCATTCTTGATTTGCACCCTTATTATGTAGCCTTATCACCAGGCAAGACAGTAGAGTCTTTAAGGGCAAAGATGTTGACTTTAAGTAAATGTAGGTTGTGAACTGAACTCTGCTATTTATAAGCCGAGGAATCTTGTTATGTCTTTTCAACTTAAGAGGACTTGATTTTCTTAGCTGTAAAATGGGATCATCCCCACTTACTTTATATACTGTTGGGGGGAAGTCATTGAGGTGATGTGTATAAAGTGTTTAGCAAAGTACGTGGCACACAGTAGCTCTTAATCACTTGGGGGAATAGCTGTTATTTGAATAGTACCTTTTCTGGATGGTGATGACAGCCAAGGTTCTTTTTCTGTTACAGAGCATACTTGGATGTTAATGAACTGAAGAACATTCTTAGACTGGATGGATCAACACACCTTAATATCTTCTTTGCAAACTCCTCGGAGGAGGAATTGGCAGGAGTAGCAACTTGGCCATGGGACAAGGAGGCCCTAATGCACTTAGGTGAGAATTAGAAACTTCTTCAGGAGGAAATTGGGTTAGCACAGGATTAACTTTAGTGATGATGGTAATGGTGGTGGTGATCATGACCTTGACAATGGTGATGATGAACTATCTCTTTATTACTTTTTTGAGTATAGAACCCTTTAGCATTTCTTATCTCATCTCAACCACCAGGCATTTCTCTGAAGAATATAACATGATATCATTAACCCTGTTTTGCCAGTGGGGAAACTGAGATCCACAGAAGGAACAGGGCTTATCCAAGGTCACACACAAGTCCGTGGCTGGGCCCCATTTGGAGTTCAGGTCTCCCGCTGTGTCCCTTGATAGCTTTCTTCTTTTACCCCTTGCCTCTTAGTGCATGCTGTTATCTTCCCAGCCTGTCAACCACAGGAAGCTGATACAGCCAGTCAGAGCTTGGCTTGAGGGATACGAAAGAGACAGAGAGAGGGAGTGAGCTTGCTAAGAACTCCTTGTTCCTCCGTGGTCCACCAACACCACCAGGAGCTCTTCTTACATCCAAAGTATTCATATCCATAAACCAGACATATGTTTATAGGAACCCATCACCAAGAGTCAGAAAAGACAATGGTTTCTGAACCAGGCCCTAAAGTAAACAGCGTAGCTCTTTAATTTTCATTTTTCCGTGCTCTCTTCCAGCACATGTCTGTATATGCATGTGTGTTTCTGTAACTTGTGCATATTTGAAATCACAGCATCGATAAAAATTTTACATTTTGTTGTTGTTGTTGTTTTACTTCATATTATGCTACCTACGTTAGGAAGACTGGTAACAGTCTTCCTAATCACTTCCCATCCAACTTTTTCACTTAATATCACAAGAAAAAAAGCATCCTTCTGAGTTATTTCCATCTCTCTATAGGTGATGTTTTTAATTTCCACACAATATTCCATTGAGTGAGGGCACTACAATGTACTCAACCTTTTTTCCTTTGACAGAATGTTCTCGATGTTTATACCAGTGGAGAGCAATGCCTTGCTCGTCAAGCATCTTCATCTGGGGAGGTTTGGGCTCAGAAGAGAGACAGTTCTCAGTGTTTCCTGAGGCCCCCTGCTCCCCCAGTGGTACAGCCCAGGTCCAGTCACCATTTCAAATGGCAGTATTTTGGAAATGAAGGACTCTGCGGCTTCACAGGACGGAGACCTCAAACTCTAGAGTTAGTTCCCGCTAGACTGCTCTCCTTTTCCACTTGGTTTTAAGAGAATGAAACCAAAATATGGTGTGTGCGTGTGTGCACGCATGAGTGAACGTGCGCAGGTGTGTTGTTGTGGTGTAAACAGAACTGGAGAGAAAGAGAAATCTTTAGTAGTTCCCAACTGGGGGAATTTTATCCCCTAGGAGACATCTGGCCATGTCTGGAGATGGTTCTGGCTGTTACAAATGGGGGAATGCTACTGGCATCTAGTGGGTAGAGGACAGCGATGCTGTTCAGTCTATGGGTCTAGCAAGAATTATCCATTCCAAAATGTCAGTCATGCTGAGGTAGAGAAACCCTGAGATAGTTGATGGACGCATAGACAGACAGACAGAGGTTGGGCAGAAAAGAGCATGCAACTTAGACACACTTGAGCGTAGACGATTTGTTTCTGTCACATGCCTGGTATGACGTATGGAAGTCCTGTTGGCCCAGAGCGATACCCATGTTTGGTCTCAGCTGTAATTCTGCTTGGCCATGTGGCCTTAGGCAAGTCTCCTTCCCCCCGTTTGCTCAGATTTTAATTGAACAGGTTAGACTAGATGGTCTCCAAAGACGGTTCTCAGCACTGAAATGCTGTCCTGTTGGAAAAGCAACAGAAAGGCTCTTGATCAGACTCTTAGAAGGCGTCTAACGTTAGAGAAAAATACTCCTGATGATTCCGTGAATTTCCGAGGCTGGCTCAGGGCCAGGAATACAGAAGGCCATAAATCCGCAGCATGTTATAGTGTTTCAGAATGATGTCAGGCTCCAGCTATTTCACCTTTTAAGAGAAGCAGTGAAACAAGACTCGGGCTCTGTGCTGTGGCTCCGTGCAGAGGGGTGAGTCGGGAAGGGATGAGGTAAAACAAACCAAGCTGGCCCGGACATTAAGTCTACAATCCCATCATTATCCCTGGAAATACCTGTGGGGTCCCGTACCTTCCCATCCCCCTGCCCAGCACCTCCATGTTGAAGCCTCCTGGAGAAACAGAATCACTGGCACTGTCGTAGCTGTTTATTTAAGAGCTCACCAGAGATGCAGAGTCACTTTTCCAAGATCACACAGCCGGGGTCAAGCCGAGTGAGGGTTGCATCCGATGTCAGGCTCACTGACCCGGGCCCCCAGCCCCCAGCCTGCCATCGCCCCATCCCGAGACATGTTGGCCAGAAGCAATTTCTCCACACTAACCCCAATCAAACCTAACTTATTAGAACCATACCTATATTTTTACCCTCTTTTCCTGCCGTGATGCCATGATCTCTGGAAAAAGCCTTGGGTGGGAAGGGGATTATGTTTCATATTATGACTGACAGAAAATAATTGAGAGAGATTTCCTGTCTCAATTTCTCTTCCTCCCTGCCTCTCTGCCTGCCCCTTCTCACACAAATGCGTGTGCACACACACACCCCCACACCCTCTCATACATCTTTATCTCTGTGCTAGAAGGCTCTGCGCAGTTCAGAATTAATAGACTCCGTGAGCCCCATGACTGAGCAAACTCACCTCCCGGCAGTACAAGCCAAGATAAAACTCCCCCCTCCCCGTGCCCGCCAGTTCAAATCAACAAGGCCCTGCCTTATCACCATTCTTTAGAAGACCCTGCTCCACACTTAAAATCGCAACTTGCAAGAGTGTTCAGACCTGAATGTTAACCTTCTCTTAAACACATTTGGATTTTAAAGTATAAATGTCTCCCTACCAGCCTATATCGTTTCTCCAGTGCCTCAAATGAACGTGAAAAATGCCATCCAGTGATTCTGCTGAAATCTGTTCCATCCATCTCCCTAGGCTAAGCCATACACAGTCACTGAAGACCTGTGGGGTAGACCATGGCTTCTGCAACTAGAATGTACAGAAGAGCCGTCTGGGGCCCTTGTTAGAGCACGGATGCTGACTCTGTAGGTCTGCAGTAGGGCCCGGGAGTGCATTTATAATCTTCTCCAGGTGATGGTCATGCTGCTTATTCTCAGGACACTCTTCGACTCCTGAGAAGTTAGATACCCTCTGACCCACTTGGAGTCATGAGTAAGGCACCTGCTAACTAGGAAGCTAGGCAAGGCTGCTTACGTGGGCTCAGGTGGACCTCAGAAAATGGCTTTCGTTGGGTTAACGTTCAGCAAAGATTCAACACACTTGTAATGAGATGCCACCTTCCAGGCCCTGCGATTGGCACTCGTAGTAGAAGTCATTAAGAGGCCTGGCTCCGGAAACTAAGGATCTTGGGTTCAAATCCCAGCTTGACACTTTCCGAACTCCCAATCATGAGCCTGTCACTACCTGTCTGGGATTCAGTGTCTCTGCTCTTGGGTTGTGAGTTGAGGAAGTGTGATTATACACAGGAAGCACCGAGCATGGGGCCCGAGGACACATGCTAAGCACCCACAAGACGTTGGATGTAATGACACCGTCATCATGAGGAGCTCAACAGGATGATGGCCTCCATGAGGGCTAGATGAAGAAGTGGGATTCAGGGATGGCAGTCAGCTTGCTCAGTGTCCTAGCATTGAGGAGGTCAGAGTGAGGATTGGCACCAAGGTATCTGACCATGAGGGCTTTGGTTGGACTAGACAGTGCGGAGTGTTTGTAAACTAGGGTGTGCCTTATTATTGAAGGACAAGGTGGCAGCAAAAATGTCCCCCAGCCCAGAAATCATGCCTGTTTGTAAAGTAGTTTGAGATCAGCTCAGTCAGGTTGCCTTGGTTCTTTAGGCAATAGAGTTTTCATCTGAAAAAGGAAGGGATTGCCCAGAGTGACTCTTGAGACTCCTTCCTACCCAATCAGTGCTGCGTATCACAAGTCCTAACAGTTCTCAGAGCAGTGGAGACCCAGGGTGGAGAAGCCTGTGGTTACCTAGGGCAGCACCCCATTTGCCTGTGATTGGGGGATTTCTGCAGCAGGAAACAGAGTGTCCCCACTTGCTTATGGCTCTGGTTTTCCCTTGCAGGTGGCATTGTCTTGAATCCATCTTTCTACGGCATTCCTGGGCACACCCACACCATGATCCATGAGATCGGGCACAGCCTGGGCCTCTACCACATCTTTCGAGGCATCTCAGAGATTCAGTCTTGTAGTGATCCCTGCATGGAGACGGAGCCCTCCTTTGAGACGGGAGACCTCTGCAGCGATACCAATCCAGCCCCAAAACACAAGTTCTGTGGTGATCCGGGACCAGGGAATGACACCTGTGGCTTCCATAGCTTCTTCAACACCCCTTACAACAACTTCATGAGCTACGCAGGTAGGGTTCCCTCGCCCGGCAGGGCGAACACGGCTGCGTGTCTCACGCGGGCTCTGGTCCTGGCTCAGAGGAGCCTTGGGAAGGCTGCTTTCTTTTTCTAAGACTTCTTCATCCCAATTGTCCCTCATTCCAGATAATCAGGATGTGACAGTCCTTGTGTGAGATCTCAGGGTTTCATGGGAGCTGTTGTATCTGACGTCTCCTCGGAAAGACACACTTGAAGGGGCTGACTGGGGCCCAAGGTCAGGGGACCTACGGAGAAGTTCTCGATCTACCACTGGGTTACCCAGTGCCTTTGGGTCAGTTAAACCCTGTCTCTGGGTCTCCCTTCACTCAAGAAAATGGAATCTTTGGATCCAAGGAATCTTAGAGAAGTTTCCTCTAATTTTGCAGTAGTATTTTTCTAAGCTGGTCGTTACGGCAACTTTTTCTTTATCTTTTCCTTTTTATTTTTAACTACAACTTTTTCTTAAATATAAAGCTATTACACTCTCCTTTACTCTTTTATTATCAAAAAATAGAATGCTTTTGGTTTTGCAAATACGAAATTATGTGAGAGGGGTGCATTCTTTTCCTAACTGCATATATCTTGTCAAAACCCTTTTTTATACCATCGGTAATAACGTTAAGGACTCATGCTTTGGGTTCAAGGATGTCGTGTACTTCTTTTAGAATATATCAAGTCCACCTCTAGCCTTAGAGCATATTTGGAAAGTTAATACAAGGCATCCTTTTCTAAGGCAGTCTCAGCCCTCACCACTGGCCTTTTAGACCAAGAACCCCAATATAGGACCCAATCCACAAACTGCACATGTTAGCCCAACATTGAATTCTACTATAATATTCTATATATATTATAGGAGTCTCTTGCCCCTACAAAAGTAAGTGAGTTCTGTGAAAGCAGAGACTATCTCTAATCACTATATTCCTAGCACCTAGCTCCTAGCACAGAGCTTAATAAGTGTTTGTTGAGAAGAAAGGGAGGGATGGAGGCAGGAGGGAAGAAAATAAATTCTCATAAAGATATAAAAAGGTGATTCTTATCAATAGTATTATTTCTCCTTGTATAAAAGTTTGTGATTCCTAAAGGACATTAATACGCACTATCTCATTCAACTCACAACAGATCTGTAGGGTAGAAAGTGTCCCCATTTTACAGATGGCAGTACCGTGACTCACTAAAGTCATTTGCCTCAGATCACACATCTGACTCTAAGCACTTTTTTTCTTCTATTCCTGCGTAGGGCTCTAAGTCTCCATCTCTGCTTGAACTCGGAAAGCCCTCTTCCCACAGTTTTCCATTTCTTCTTTGACTTTGGCCTCAGACCACAGTTTTTTAATTAACATATATTATTTGTTTCAGGGATACATGTCTGTGAATCATCAGGCTTACACATTTCACAGCACTCACCATAGCACGTACCCTCCCCAGTGTCCGTCACCCAGCCACCCTATGCCGACCCCCCTACCCTCCAACAACCCTCAAGTTGTTTTGTGAAATAAGAGTCTCTTATGGTTTGTCTCCCTCCTGATCCCATCTTGTTTCATTTCCGCCCCCCCACGGCCCTCGCCCTGCCTCTCAAATTCCTTATATCAGAGAGATGATATGATAATTGTCTTTCTCTGATTGACTTATTTCACTTAGCATAATACCTCCTAGTTCCATCCATGTCGTTGCAAATGGCAAGATTTCGTTTCTTTTGATGGCTGCATAGTATTCCATCGTATATATATAACACGTCTTCTTTAACCATTCATCTGTTGATGGACATCTAGGTTCTTTCCATAGTTTGGCTATTGTGGTCATTGCCGCTATAAACGTTCGGGTGCACGTGCCCCTTCAGATCACTACGTTTGTATCTTTAGGGTAAATACCCAGCAGTGCGATTGCTGGGTCATAGGGTAGCTCTATTTTCAACATTTTGAGGAACCTCCATGCTGTTTTCCAGAGTGGTTGCACCAGCTTGCATTCCCACCAACAGTGTGGGAGGGTTCCCCTTTCTCCGCATCCTTGCCAGCATCTGTCATTTCCTGACTTGTTCATTTTAGCCATCTCAGATCACTTTTGTGAAAAGAGGATTTTACTGCTGAAACCGAGTGAATCTGATAATCCCCAGTAGGTCTTCCTGCTTTCCCACGTAGGCTGATGACCTCTGGGGGCCTCTCCAGTTTAAGGCTCCTACTGTTCAAACCTGAGGTCTTCGAAAGGGTCAACAGCCCAACCTTGGCACCAGAAAGGGGTCGTCAGGTTTAGGTCTTTTAAAAAGACCACAGTGCTAGGTATTTCCTCAAAAGCAGATTTCCCACTGGATTCCCATTCCCAGCCAAGCCGACATCCCACATCCGGTGCCCTGTCCCCTCACGCAGCCCTGCTTACGTTCCATTTCTGTAGCACCTTTCCTTGGCCAGCTCAATGCACATGGAAAATAAACAATAACATGAATTTGGAAGGTTGCCGGACGCTTAGGGGCCTCGGAGCTGCCACTGGCTACCAGACCCCCATAAACCAAATCTTTTTTCTTTTTGTTCCCCTTTGTACAGATCTAAAGGGTGATTGATTTACTGTTGTTTTTTTAAAGGAACCCCTCAGCTCAGTGACCCATTAACAGCAGAACTAATTCACTGAGCTACGATAACAAACTTACACCCGCAAAAGCACATTCAAGGCGACCACGAGCTTTGAAATGTTTGTTTTCCTTAGGATCTCTGATAGATGAGGTGACAAAAGCAGCTGGATGAAATTCAAAATGCAGAAGAGGATGGGGTTCTCAGGACCGGGAAGAGCTATGCACAGGGGCTGTGTGGTCAAGGCCAGAGGGTGGAGACCCTGCTGGGTCAGCTGCTCAGAGTTCCTTCCGTCCTTCCTTCCTTGGTGCTTCTTTCTCGGGCCTGACCACGCACAGAGTGAAGAGTCTAGAGCAGTGCCATCCAGTAGAACTTTCTGGAAAGATGGGCATGTCCCATGTCCGTGGTGCCCGGTGTGATCACCACTGGCCTGGTGTGGCCTGTGAGTGCTTCGAGCATGGCTAGTAAGACCAAGGAGTTGAATTGTTCATCTTTAGTAACTTTAATTAGTTCAAACTGAAATAACCCCACCTGGCTGGTGACTGCCATAGTGGTCAGCACAGGTCTACAGTTGTTATCAATTACCTGGGATACAGCACACGCTGCAGGAAACACTTCATAGGCTTCTCTTGTAGTATCCTCAAAGTGACCCTCTGAGGTAAGGACTATTCTTACTGAACCCATTTTACAGATGCAGAAAGTGTGGTTTCATGTAGCTTAGGCCACTTGCCCAGGGTCACACAAGAAAAAGGTAAGCCTTTTTCACTGCAGAGCCTATGCTATTGATCGGTGAACAATCTGGCTCTCTCCCTCTCTCTCTGATGCTAAGGCAGGTAGGGAGGGGCCCCAGTGCTCAGCTCCAGCAAACACTGGACAGGTGACGGCATTCAACCCCAGGTGCATAGGGTCCCCTTGAGCCACTGGATAAGCCCCGGGCAGATGAAAAGCAGAAGCCCAGACTCTCCTTCCTGAAGATGATAGGCCACCCTCCAGTCAGGGCTTCCTCAAGAGTACGAAAACCAGGCCTTGTCCGGCCCACAGGAGCAAGTGTCCGGTTACCATTGTTCTGCACGTCGGGGTCTTTCCAAATACACATCTGCTTCGACCGTGCAATCCCAGCTCTTAGGAATGTATCCGAGGGAAGGAAATCCGTGCACTTGTTTCAGGACTCAGTCCTAAGGATGTTCTCAGCAATGTTCATTGTCAAAATATCAATAAGGTATTTACTCTCTGCCAGGCATGAAGAAAAAATGCTTATATGCGTGAAAAATTAGAAACTGCTTGCAAGACCAATGAGCATGGATTGTTGAAATAAATCACAAGGCACCATATGATAGAATGTTGTGGGGCCACTAACGATAATGCAGAAGATGAAAGAGAGGAGTAAACAGAAGCTGAGGGACACAGTGGCACAGAGCACATAGTTTGGGAGTGCGGCACCAAATGTGAATCCTCCGTGCATTAGCCTTTGACAGTAGGCGAGGTGCCTCTCCAGGCCTCCCTGCCTTCCTGCATCCCATGGAGGGTCATCACACCGACCTTGCGTGATGGCAGATGTACTCATGCAGATGAAGGACTTAGAACTGTCCTTGGTACCATAACTGGTGCTCTGTAAGTGATCATTCCTAGGAGTATTTGTTAACTCTTTAATGTGAAAATGGTCACAGAGCCTTGTACGGTGTAAGACCTGGCATATATACGTGTGTGTGTATGTATATATATAAATGTATGTATATACATGGTGTAAATGTATTTCCGATAATGAGAATTATAAATATTTACATGCAAAATACACACATAGATCTATATGCTAAATACTCGTATTATCTCTAGGGAATGAGTTTAGGGGGATGTTTATTTCTTTGTAACATTTTGGATATATTCCACATGTTTTACAGTGAATAATCATTTATTGCTATTACTATTAGTATCACTATCATTATTTAATAAAAATCAAAAAGGCAGTAGCTCTTACAAAGGGCAGCTCCGTCATCCCTACACTAGAAACGGGTTTGCTTGTTAAATGCCCTTATTAGCTTTAGGAGGTGGTTACATCACTGTTCTCTGTGTTACTGTGGGTAAAAACAAGGCTGGCCAGGGAGACAGCATCATGCTCCCGGTTCTACAGTACACTGCAGCTCTGGCCCTGGCCTGACCCTCTGTGCTCTGTGGTCACCATGCTCCAGAGGGGAACGTGTTCTAGAGAACCAAGTTCAGTTAGCAAACTCAGGCAGGGCCCCGAAAGCATGGGGCTGGTGCAGGCTTTCCCAGTGATGAGATCCCCAAAGTCCTCCATGCTGAGGGCTAGGATGGGAACCGAAGAACAAGAGGGGCTGGTTGATCCTGGAGCTCAGATGTCAGGAGGGGAAACATGTGGAGGCAGGAAGCCAAGAGGGGCTGACTCTAGACATGAGCTAATTGAGACAGAGCGTTTGTGACAAACGGAAACCCTTTGACCCCTCCCCCCAAGACTCTGAGAGCAGCTGAGTCTTTAAGCGATACACTGTGGGACAGACGCTCACGGACTTCTGTGCTCAAGTTTAGATACATTTCTGTTCCCTTACCAAGTTTTGTCACCTATCTGTTCTTCATACTCCTTTTTATTGACAAATGTAGAAATGGCTAATTTTTAAGTCGCTAAAGGAGAAATGCACTTCTTGGGGAAAAGAAAGAAACAAACAAACCAGAGTGAATAAGGGGGGAATATGCTGGTTTCCTCCTCCATTCGTCTTGATAAATACTCTGTGTGCTCCAGCTCACCGAGTCCCCACAGCAGCTCCATGGAGTGGGGTTGATTCAATGTCCCCAATTGTACCTGCAGGACCTGATTTTGAGTTACTTCCTTCTTTTGGAAATGACTGATTAGTATTCTCTTTGGTGCTGTGCCTTAATGTACATGGCCATTCCCCTCCTAATAGACGGATGTGTTATTTCTGATATTTTTCTTTAAAGATTTTATTTATTTATTTGACAGACAGAAATCACAAGCAGGCAGAGAGGCAGGCAGAGAGAGGAAGGGAAGCAGGCTCCCTGTTGAGCAGAGAGCCCCATGCAGGGCTCGATCCCAGGACCCTGGAACCATGACCTGAGCCGAAGGCAGAGGCTTAACACACTGAGCCACCCAGGCGCCCCTATTTCTGATATTTTTACCATTATAAATGATGCTCCAAAAAATATCCTCATACCTCTATATTCCCCATATTTGTTCATGAATATCTGTCTATTGAATTCCTGAGTGTGCTATTGCTAGATCAAAGAGAATGAATATTTTACATTCTGGTTATTTTTTTTCCCTGCTTCTGGTTCTCTCTCCTCTCTCTCTCTGTCTCTCTCTCTCTCACACACACACACACATACACACACACACACACACGCAGGAACTGTCCCTGTCATGAGGCAGTGAGTATTACTGAGCATTATGGTTCTTTGTGCACTACTGCCCTTAACCTTCAGCTGAGTTCTGAGGGAAACATTCTCGGTGTCCTCATCATCGCCATCTACAGTGGGAAGACAGAGGCCCTGAGGGCATGAATTCACTTGCCCACTCGACTCTGCATCCCTCACACGTTGGTCTAACTCTTTAGCAGTACTTATGAGCCATTGTCTCTTCCCCTGCCTGTGACCTATTCAATGGCTTTCCCAGGGGTGCTTTTTTGTACTAAGAATGCGACGTTCCTAGGAACAAAGAAGAATTTACCCGATGGACTGGCCCTTCTTAGGCTAGACGTTTGGACTCTATTCTCCAGGCAGCGGAGAGCCATAGAATGTTTGTTATCCAAGGAGTTAGATGGCTGCATGTGGGCTTGAGAGAGATGTATGTGACTAAGGGGACTTGTTAAGGGAATTGGGCTCTTCTGCTTTGTCCAGACCTATGAAAGATGTGCCCGGGTGCTGGACAAGGGACCGGCCTACAAAAATTACTAAGGGGATCAGAAGAAGCGTCTGTGTATAACCTTTCACTCCTGTCCCTTCCCCAGGCTGGATTCTCAAGGTCCCATCCAGCTACCCAGCACCTGCTCAAACTTATTTTCTGTTTGTTTGATAAGGCGAAGTGAGTTTATGCTGCAGGATTCCCAGGGGCGGGTTTATTTTAAGATCTGGTGAGCCCCGTGCTCCTCCGTCTGGGGCCCAGCTGCGGAAACCCCAACCGGGCAGACACCTCTGGGAAATGATATTTTTGGAAACCTATCCAAAACAGTGCCTTGTTCTGCCTCCAGGGCAGCCGAATGAAGCGGTTGGAGGGGTAGACAGGAGGCAGCCTCCTTCCTTGGGAGGTGAGTCTCAGACAGTCTTCAGTCCACATGGTAGAAAAGAGAGTAGGGCTCAAGGTCATTCGATCTAAAGACATTTAAGAGATTATATTCCAGCCCACTCAGACTTGGGCTCACATTTTATTTATCAAGCACCTGCAGGATCCTTTTCCCATACAGGGTCTCACTTAGGCGCAGAAAGAAGTTCTCACGTCGATTAGAAATATGCTCTTGGAGTCCAGAATGCCTGGGTTCAGACCTCACGTGTGTCCCTGGCATTGTGATCACAAAAGAGTTGCTTGGCCTCTCTCAGTCTTCATTCCCTTCTCTGCACAATGGAGCAAACTGTCGTATTTACTCCCCAAACAGTGGGAATGTTAAATATGTCCAAAGCACAGGGCACCACGTCTGGCTGATACTAAGCACTCGGTGGGTAGCCAAGTGACAGTACTGTCCTCGTTCCCAGCATGGACACTGAGCCTGGACTGTTCCTGGGCCTCCTGCCTCTCTAGCTGTGCTCCCTGCAAAGGACACCACGTCCCTGCGGGCCTGCAGCTCCCTCTCCTACAGTGCCTGACCTTCCTCTCCCCATCTTAGCCATGCAGTCTGGTTGACCTCAAGTACCTCCTTCTTCGGGAACCTCCCTGGGTCCCTGTCTTGGCCCACGGTGCTGTGTCTTGGTCATCAGTGGTCAGCATCACAGACTCTCACTGTCTTCTGATAACCTTGGCTCGTATAAGAGACTCGCCTTCACTCTCTAACTAGACTGGTCGCTCCTCGGGGGCAAGACCCTTTTTAAATTTTATCTTTCTGTGGCCTGTGGCCCAGAGCAAAGAGTATGGGTTAGATGCTCAGGGGTTAGTTTGAAGGACAGTATCACTGCGTCCATGGACAGTGGAACGAACGAGCAGATGAGTGGATGTGAAGGAGTGAGGGAGTGACTGAACAAAGGAATGAATGAATGAATGTAAAGGAATGAACGAATGGGATATTTGGGGTGACTGTTGAGGGAGGGACAGAATAAGGGAATGCATGGCTTACTGACCAGGGATTGGGGGGCCTGTGGAAAGCCATTTGTCTGGCCCTTGTCCTTAACTGTGACCTCTGGGCTGCTCCGTCCCATCCACCCTCCCCTTCCTCCTGTTCCCTCTTACCTGTCTCCAGAAGTGATGACTGCACTCATTTCTTCACAGACCATTAGCTCTTGGGCACTGGAAGAGGCCAGCTCTGCATTGGCAAGGGCTGGGGTGCTGGCTGGCTGGCCCCCTGGGAGACGTCATGCAGCAGTGGGTTCTTATCTCTCCCTCTGCCCACTTGCAGATGACGACTGCACAGACTCCTTCACGCCCAATCAAGTCGCCAGAATGCACTGTTACCTGGACCTGGTCTACCAGAGCTGGCAGCCCTCCAGGAAGCCGGCGCCCGTCGCCCTGGCCCCCCAGATCGTGGGCCACACGAGCGACTCTGTGACACTGGAGTGGTTTCCACCCATCGATGGCCACTTCTTTGAAAGGTGAGTGTGGCCTGTGCAGTGTCGATCCCTCTCTCTCCTGCCGAGAAGAGGGGAAATTCCAAAGGGAAGCTGTTTTCTTCGTCCCCATTCTTGTTCATCTGGAGCCCCTAGCACCTAGCCATGACTAGTCTGTATAGACACAGGGCAAATTTGGGAGTCAGGGGGTAAATGAAGGAGTGCTCATTGGAATTAGTAAGTAAAGATGCGTGCTTCCAATGAATGGATGTTTAGCTTTATTTTATTATGAAACACCTGGAAACTTACTGCCTCTGTCTTCTGGGAGAGAGGTGCTGGCCTCATCACCATGAGCTCGCGAGCTGGAATTGCCTCTGGTCAATGCACAGCTGTGATATATGTGTAATCTATATTATATATGAAGGTACATATGTGTGTGTATACATACATATTCATACGTCATACGCAAATACACGTACTTGAATACACTTGAATATATAAATACATATCATTAGAATCTTTGTGCCTAGTATTTTGTTGTAAAATGGAGGATAGGATTTTTAGATCAGGGATGATAAACTGAGGCACGGGAGTTCTGCTCCCCGGTCTTTCACTTATTAACTGTATTACCTTGGGCAAGTCATTTTCGCTCCTTAACTCGTCCTCTCTGGCAGGAAAGTGGGTCTAATAATGCCTCAGTGGCCTGAAGACGGGGACGTGAATCCATTGGTCTCTCGTGGTGCCTTTCAGCATTGACACCCCCTGAGGACCTCAATCTTTAAGGGAAACAGATTCTGAAGAGTCAGGAAAACAGATTAAGATGATGACATCTACACTTGCCTATAATTTAGGGCTTATTAGTGTATTACCCCCCCATCCCAATCCTTCTTGGCATTTTGTCGAACACTGATGATATACCATTGATGATGGTGAAAGGAATAACCAACTAATGATTAACTAATCATTCTCTGTGGTTATGGTTGTTGCCATTTTTCAACTCCTTCCTCTAAGCCATATTCCGTATTAAGGCTTTATATGGAGAACAGAGATAACTATGAAAGGGAAATCATCAAGGAATATCTGGGTGGCTCAGTCAGTTGGACATCTGACTCCTGGTTTCATTCAGCTCAGGTCATGATCTCAGGGTTGCAAGATTGAGCCCCACCTTAGGCTCTGCAATCAGCGTGGTGTCTGCTTGGAATTCTCTCCCTCTCCCTCCTCTTCTCCTCCCTTCGTTTGCATGTGTGCCTTCTCTCTCGCTCAAATAAATAAATAAAACCTTTAAAAAAAAATAGGGGAATCATCTTCCTCATTTGCCAGGTGAGGCATGAATTAGAGTGGAAGACAGTAAGAAATTTGACCAAGAGCCCACAGATGGTGCTGGGAGCCTGGCTCTGACTCACATTTTGCAATGTCTTATCTTGGGCCCCCATGTGCTTTCATTAAGTCCTTCCAAAACTTAAATTATGAAGGAGGTATTACCCCTCCCCTCAAAAGAACCAAGAAAGGTGGTAAGGAGCTCTCATTTGTGTGTGTATGTATAAATACATATTAGATCATGGTACCACAATAAATTTAGGCTCCAATTTTCTCCACTACCAACAGTCCCTGAATCTAGAACCTTTGTTTGGCAGCTGGGTGAATGTGTTCATGGTGGAAGGAAATGCACTCCCCGGCCTTCTATAAAGCAACACCACCCCCACCACCCCGCCTTCCCCTGCCCCAACCGCCCTCACTGGGAGCTCAGAGCTGGGTTTGGGAAACGTCATGTGACACTTCAGAACAGACTTTCCAGCAGCCTGTAGATTTATTTATTTTTTCTGTGGCGATGAGAAGTATCAGACTTTTGGTCAAGCCTTGGCCTCAGTTCCACTTAAAAATGGAAGTTTTGTAAATGAAGCTTCCCGTGTATGTATTTAATTTGTATTTCATAAAGCAGTTATTGTCCATTAAATAAATACCATCTGATTGTTGGAAACCTATTGGAGGGTTAATTGTTGTGTAATGAGATATGTCTCTATTACATAGTACCCTCAGCTTCAATCAATATGTTTTTAATAACCTATAGTCAGTTGGTACTTGAGGCTCATACAATAGCTATTCTGTTTGGTCTGAGATTTCATAATGGAGTTATCATATGTTAAATTAAAACTGACATTTTAGAAACATGTCTAATTAGGGTTAACAGCTATGTAGACGATAGTCTATGGCTAAAGGAAGTCTATCCACAAGTTCAATAAATTGCTGTAAAGAAATGGAGCGATCAGTCTCCCTACCCTCAGAGTTTGTACACCTACAGACTGGCTTGGTACAAAGAGCACAAGTTTGCTGGCAAGTTGTCTGCACTCTGTCCTTAGCTCCACCACCCCTGGTCTTCCGGACCTTGTGCAAGCCATCTCACCTCTCTGGTTTTCTCTGACCTTCCGAATCTTCTTCCATAATTGTGCCCACTTCACCTGGATTTTGTGGGGAATTCAAGAAACGTGACATCCGTGATATGCTCACACATGCACTCTATGTTCAAGAAATACTAGCTCCCCTCTTGTACAAACCCAGAGCTGTTTAGGTACTTGAAAATTCTCTTTCCCTGCAAAATCTCTGGTGTTTTCCACTACATCCATCAATGCCAACCTCTCGCCCCTGGCCATCCTTACGTCCTCCTGCTGTTCCTCACATCTGTGGTCTAAGAGAATACAAGGGTTTTCCTTAAGAAAACATATTCAGATCCTCCCACAGCCTGTGTCCTCACACATGGGCAACTGAATAAATAATTCAAGGCCACCCCTGGCTTTTCTAACTCCTTTATTTTTATCTGTCTTGCAAACATGTGTTGACTGAATGGTTTCAGTTATCTGAACAATTGGTAGTGGTGTATTAGAAAGAATTCTGGACTCAGACCCAAAAGACCTGGGTCTGAAGTCTTTGCAACCTCATTCATTTCCTCCTCCTCTTCAGCCTCAGTTTTCTGATCTGTAAACCAAAGGCCATCTGGCCTTTTTCCCTATTCCAAATCTCAGAACCCAGAAAATGACTTGAGTAACCATTTTCTCAGTTTTCCCAAGAATGGTGCATGACGAGTACCATGCTAGATGCATGGGAGAGAAGTTAACTCATCACACACGGTAATCTGAAGAATCACTGTTCAGTAGGACTTCTGCAGTAATGGAAATGTTCTGTATTTCTGCTGCCCAATATGGTAGCCATTAGCCAACTGGCTACGGAACATTTGAAATGTGAAAAGTGTGAAATTGAATTTCTAAATTTATTTAATTTTCATTAATTGAAATTCAAAGACCCACATGTGGCTGCTGGGTGCTGTATTATTAGCAAAGACTTTAGGCTTTGATTCTGATGGAAGATGGGTAAGAAAGATGATCTTGTCCAGTGTTAGCATCTTGTACTACTGTGGTTTCAGTGTGTGTGTGTGTGTGTGTGTGTGTGTGTGTGTGATTGTGTGTCTGTGTAGATACAGGCACAAATAAAAATCAAATAAATGCCAAACCTAAGAAAACATATACTCCTTGGATGTGTAGGATACTGCCTGATTTTGGTAAAGCCTGTATCTACTCTATGACTTTATGAGCTATGATCTCGGCATGATTACTTTGTACTAATGATCTTCTATTTCTGAATCTGTGAAGTGGGAACATCACCCACTGCCCAGAATCACACCATTGCATTTAGTTGCCTACTTTGGCTTTACTTTTGTCCTTCACTTCTGAATCCATGTTTCATTCAGCATGAAGACCAGTCTTTTTAAAATGTAAATTAGATCATGTCACTCCCTGACTTAGAGTGACTCCAGTGGCTTCCCACCTCTTTTATGTACAATCTGCGGGTGGTCTACTGGACCTCCCATAATCTGGTCCTTGCCTACTTGTCCAGCTGCTTGTCTTAACACTCTTTCCTTCATTCATGACTCCTGTCACTCAGACTTCCTCTGGGATCCCTATAGACCAAGGCTTTTCCTGTGCAGGTCCTTTACCTACCTGAGATTACCCCCGGAATGCTTTATATCCACTCTTCATGTCATCCTTCAGCTTTTACCATAGATGGCTTCCCCTCACTAAGGTCTTTCATGACTGTTTCCATTTTAATTAGCCCAGCGCACCTCCCCCACCAGTATTCTTGCTTACATCATCCATTTACTTTCTTTCTGGAACTTAATGAACCCATAATTTTATATCTGTTTATTTGTTTATGCACTATCCATCTGGCTGCAAGCTCTATGAGGTGTAGGTAGCATACCTGATTTCCTTCCCCTTGGATAGCCTAAGTCTGGAACTTGTACAGTTCTGGCAACTAGAGGCGGTTCAATGACTACCCACTGAATGAACAGATGAAACAGTGAATGAATATGTGAATCAGTGGCTGAATATGAGGGAAAGTTCTTTGTGGAGCTCTGTGCAAACAAGGCGTGTTTACTGTCAGGTGGATGATGGTTTAGTCACTCATCAAAGTATCTGTTAGAAACCCAGAATGTGTGAAGAACTGATGTATAGGGGACTATAGGACCATCATCTAAAACAAAGTGTCTAAAGAAACAGAAAGAAAGTCTCAGTGACCATTAAGGTTCATGTGGTTCCTGACTCCATCCCAGAACTTTTATAATCTCATTGTCATCATAGAGCCAGTCATGTGACCCTGAGCTGCCACGCTTGGATTGTGGTCATTGTAATGGAACTCTGCCCTCCAGGGTGAGGAAGTCTCTCTCTGCGCTCCTCATTCCCCACCTTCAAGTGTATTTCTATAATTCTTATTATTGCTAGTCCAGGAGTAATTCATAGATATTCAAAATATATAGAAAGTTCAGAAAACCACAAGGAATAAAAAGGGAGGGGTAATCATCCTATACTCACTCCACCACCCAGAAATTCGTGTTGATATTTTGTGATGTCGAAGTTATTTGAACAGCATTGAGAAGCTGCTGTAAAGTCAATTTTGAATAGGATTTTTTCACTGAACGTTGTAGCTTATGCATTTTTCATGAGATTTCATGGAATATTTTTGCAACGACTACTTACCATTTCATTGAACGTATTAATCTTAGGCTATTTCATCATTCTCCTTTCACTGGATATCAGTGTGCTTGCAGAATTTCTACCTATGTATGATTTCACATTAACAGTGATAAAGCAGGATGAAAATCCATAGTTTGAGAATCTAGACTAGGTTAGTTAAGAGTCATAGCAACATATCTGAGTGACTGGTATTCATCTATCTATCTATACCCCAACCAGCCACCCACTCACCTATCCACCCATCCACTCATCTATCCATCCATCCATCCCTCTACATACATGAGCCACCATATAAGTAGATCATCAGGAGGGTGATCTGTTCAGTTATAGGTTTGGGGATGAACTTCCTGGTAGCTGTGTGGAAGAGGAATGGGGAACACCAGCAGGCTGGGGCTCGCCAGCATAGTCCTTCTTACCATGTGAACCCAGGGGCTACAGAGCTCCCTTTGAAGGGAAGGCTGCCAAGCTCCCCCATTGCATCTTTCAGGTAGCTAAAGGATAATGATCCTCCTCGGAATGTGAGAGAGGTATTGGCAGGACCATTGCATTTTGAGAAATAATGGGCTGATCCCTCTCCCCTCCTGGCAGCTGCCTCCTAAACAGATACCAAGTCTGGAGAACAAGCAAGATCCCAGAGGCCGTTGCAGCTAAAGGGAGATTGAATCCAGATACATAAGACACTTGAGAGTAGAGGAAGCCACCGTAATATTCCATTGCTGGGGCTCTGCCTTTCAAGGGATTGGCTTGCCCCTTGGAAAGCTGCTAAAATGAATTAGATGCCATGGGAAGGAAGCTGCTTTTGACTGTTAAATCAGAGGTGATTCATCCATCCCCAGAATGTCAGGCCTGGAAGGTTCTATAGGCGTCATTGGGGGTTCAGCCAGCTCATTTTCAGATGAAGGAACTGAATCGTGCCTTCTTTTTATTTAATACCTAGGACACAGGATGGTGCCTGGCATGTGGGAGGTACCTGATAAACACTGTTCAAAGAATAAAATTTGAGGTCAAATGGAAATAAAGATTTTTTTTGCAACCACACATCAAATCCTCAGTAGGGCTTTGGATGTCTGATGAAACTAAGATTAATGTGGATGTGTAAGCCTTTGGACTGTTGATTCTGTACTGCTTGAAATTAAAGATGTGTCTACTAGTAGGACAGAAGCCTCATAAGCCCAAATAAGATCTTTTTCTGGGCTGTGGGGTGGAATTTCACTCATGGTCATAATCTGGAAACTTTGGCAAGGATAAGGAGGATAGGGATAGCATGGAATTGTTGTGTCTTCTCTCCTGGTGCTTTTGGCCTAGCCAGATCAGGAGCTCATTCAACTGTTCCTAAGTCGGTGCATCTCCCTTCTTTCCTTGGCCTCCTAGAGAATTGGGATCAGCATGTGACCTTTGCCTGGAAGGGAGAATCCTGGTGCAATATGCCGTCAACGCCTCCTCCCCGATGCCCTGTGGCCCATCAGGACACTGGAGTCCTCGAGAAGCAGAAGGTAAGCTAGCCTAGAAGCTCATTTACAAGTTGGGGGTGCAAAGAACAGCTCTTTTGATGTGGCCTTAGGATGGTAACCATCTTCTCTGCATACTGTCTCATTTGATCTTACGATAGCCTTGCAAGGCCAGTTTATTTTATTTTTGTCTTTTTCCTTAAGCTTTACTGAGACCTAATTGACATATAACATTATAGGGTTTACGGTGTACAAAGCGATGATTTGATACAGGTATCATGGCAAGTGATTATAGCACAATAAGGTTAATTAACACAACTGTTATCTCATACTTTTTGATTGTCTGTTTGTGAGCTCACGTACAATCTACTCTCTGGGCAATTTTCAGGTATGTGATAGAGTATTGTTAACTATAGTCACTGTGGTGTAGTTGAGAACCCCAGAGTTTATTCATCATACAACTGGGAGTTTCTGCCCTCAGCCCAAAATCAGGCCAGTATCCACGCATCAATTCAGCACATGTACTCTGAACTCCTGCACTGTCCTAAGTATGTCATCCCACTTTACATACGAGGAAACAAAGATGCTAAGATATTGAATGAGTGCCTGAAGCCACATGCCCGATAAAGACATGGCTTGTATGTGTGTCTATGTGTGCCTCCAGACCCTGGTGGCCTGTTGATGCACAGAAAATCCCCTTCCAGAAAATCGCAGGTACTTGGGGAGGCATCAAGGTTTCAGTTATCTTTGTCTTCTTCATTTGTTGTGGAGAACATCTAGGACACCCACACACATGGTATGACGGTCCCTCTTGAAGTTTTTTGCCACGTACCCTCCTTGTTGAGATCAATCTATCAGCAAGACACTGGAGGGAAGCACCTCACCATTGCCACTCTTGGTGGGCTTTTCCCAAGAGAGGACCCTCCCCTGCCCTGGGGATCTCCCAGGCCCTCCAAGGGGCCAGCAGTCTCTGTGCTCTCTTATGGCCCCACTTGCTGCCAGACCCACTGGGTTTTCTGCAGAATTTAAGAGAGTGCATTTCACCAAATGCTTTGTTCCACTGGCACTTGGCCCTGACAGCAGCCACTTGGAACTTAGAGAATCTCGTGGAAAGTTGCCTTCTCAGTTTCCTTCCATGATCCCTACCCTTCTTTAGGGTTCAGTTCTAGTGCCCGCAGCCCTGCCGGCAGAGACCCTGTGTTCTGTGCTCTCCCTTGCCCCCCGAGACGTGCTCCACCCATCGGTCTCTCTTGCCCCTGCAGGGCAGCTCTCGTCCACGGTTCCTGGGTGGGGACACCAGCCCATCAGAGAGAGCTGAATCGGATTCCTCCCTGAGGTTCAGCAAGAACTCCCCCCGTTTTCTTTTATATTTTTAGAAAGAAGGTTGAGAAGAAAAAGCCAGAGAATAAAGCAAGGGAGAGGGATCAGAGAGGAGAGTGAAGGAGAAAAATGACAGCACTGTACTTTGTTATCTTCTAAAGTAGCTTAAAATAAAAATGAGAGAGCTGAACTCAGGAACTCTAAACAAATCCATCTGGAATGTAAAGCGAGAGGGATGTCTGGGAGAAGCCCTCAGTTCATCCCCCCAGGATCACAGGCTGTCAGACTTGGAAGGGGGGGCCTGGCTCATCTAGCCCAGTTCCCACCCAGTGCAGGAATCCCCCTGGTGCCCTCCCTCACCCAGGCTCTCCTAGCACCCGTGCGTACATTCCTGGGCCTTGTTCTAACTCCATTTGTTAGAAAGTTCTTTCCGACATCTACAGTCGTGACTTTTCCATCCCAGAGGAACCCACGTTGGGTTCTCACAGAAGAAAGGGCATGTCCCTGCCAGCTGTCAAACTGTGTCCGTGCAGGGTGACCCAGGCCCATCTGCGGCCACCATAGGAGCTGTGTGCCAGGCACTGTGCTGAGTATATGGCCAAGACAGAGCTGAGCATCTAATAGGCGAGTCAGGTGAGCAAAAGGGTGGTTATCATCTACCATCGGGTGCAGCGAGGCCCATGATAACTGAAACACAGAGTGCCAGGGGAATCAGGAAGAAGCCGACCTCGTCCAGACCTGAGACTTTATCACTGCCCCAGTGATTAAGGCACATTTGAGAACATGAAAGAAGTTTGGTATGTTTAGAGCAGAGTTTTGGGGGTTTTTTGGTGTGTTTTTTTTTTTTTTTTCCAGTGTGATCTGAGGGTTTATGGAGTTCCTGGAGACTTTCTAGGGTATCCTCAAAACCGAAAATTATTTTCATAATAATGCTGTGGTAATTGCTTACCATTGTCACTCCCCTTCTCTCCCGAGAGAGCAGTGTTGCTTTCCAGTGGCTTATGTGGAATGTGATGTTATTACTGCTCTGATGGCTAATGGAGCACATGCTTATGTGTTCTCGTGTTTGAAGTTTCTCAGTGTCCATTTGTACCATGATAACTACCAGTAGACGTAACCCACATAAATGAAAGCTGTTCAGTAATGCTGAGAGCTTAAGTGGGTTTGGAGCATGAAATGTGAGGTGTGGAGTAGGGGGAGGTTGGACTGGGTGTTCCCTAATGACTGGATGAGGATGGGTTTATGCAGAGGGCAGCAAGGAGACACCACATGCCTTGGTGGGGGTCTGGGCACACACATGGCACAATGGGTGTGTTATGAAGATTGCACGGGCTGCTGTGTGGTGAAGAGCCTCGGGATGGCTGTGCTGGAGGAAAGGGAGCCGCTGGGTGGCTATTTCAGGAATCCAGGAAAGGGATGGTGGTGGCCCTGGTGTGGCCCATGGCAGTGAGAGAGGGAGCGAAGTCAATGGAATTGAGAGATATTTGGGAGGTAGGATCAGCAAGACTTTCCGCCAAGACTTCTCTGGCTGAAACCATCCTGGTTTGTTCTCCTCGCTGCATGAATGAAATAATTTTCAGACATCTCCCCACACCTCCATCCAACCCAGCTGTCAACTGGCTAAGTCAGTTCTTGGTTTGCTCCTGACCCTCTTAAAGCATGAGATACAGAGTCGAGTTCATCGGGAAGTGCTGAGCCCCCCGGCTCCTTGAGCTGACTCAAGCATGCAAGGAAACCCCACAGCCATGGGTTTTCCTTCAGGATATGCAAATTTAGTACAATGCAGGCCAGGAAAAGACACTGTTCTTTTTTTAGAGCATCCTATTACAGGCTCTGTGATCCTTTTGGCTCAGACCCTTTTAATATCCTTGAAGAAATAAACTTTTCCATGAGCCAAACTCTGCAATTTATTTCTCAACTCATTTTCATCCTATTTATCTTTGCGTGTTTAAGTTTTTGGACTTCCCAAACTAACATAAAACTCCCAAATCCATGAGCAATGCCAGACATATCTTTGGAGTTGGGGAGAGAGTATGGGATGGGGGGTGGGGTTGAAGAGGACCGGACCTTGGTTCGAGCCCTGCCATCAACGTGCTCTGTGCCCTTGAATGAGTCACTTAGCTTCTCTGAAGATAACCTCTCATGTACAGAATAAATGTCCCCTGTAGCTCTAATATTCCGTGGAGCTGTGACTTCTTTAACTCCATATTAATAAGATAGAAGGTGGTTTTTTTTTCTCATTTAACAAATACTTGCCGCACACCCACTATTAACTCCATTAAGTCCATTCCGTGAAATTTGGGTAAATACAGCCACAGAAATTTTTGCCTTTGGCCACAGAAAGTGGTTGGATGCAAAACAGACCCTGTTTTCCTATCTCTTGAGCAAAAACTCTTATTTCACAGATGAGTATTTCCTGAGGTGTTTGATGCCACGGACACTCGTTACCTAGGGTGTGGATAGCCAGACCTCATCAACTCAGATCTCAATTAAGATCACGTGCACAGGGGCGCCTGGGTGGCTCAGTGGGTTAAAGCCTCTGCCTGCAGCTCAGGTCATGATCCCAGGGTCCTGGGATCGAGTCCCGCATCGGGCTCTCAGCTCCGCGGGGAACCTGCTTCCTCCTCTCTCTCTGCCTGCCTCTCTGCCTATTTGTGATCTCTGTCTGTCAAATAAATAAATAGAATCTTTAAAAAAAGAAGTCAAATTAAAAAAAAAAAAAAGATCATGTGCACAAACATAATATAAAGCATTGCAAGGGCTGGGTTTTCCATGAGAGAGGAACACGTGGCACTATAGTTGTTTTCATTTTTATTATTTGTGTGAGGCCTTTCCCCCTTTTGGTGCCCAGAATATTTCAGGTGTGCTGAAGTATTCTTCTGGAAGAAACTTGGCACCAAGTTCTTACAACTAAATTTGTGTCAGCAGCTGCAGCGTCTGTACACAAAGATACTTGAGGGATGTCTGTATGGATCTTCATAAATGTAAATTTGAATCAGCGTACGTATGTCTAAATATATTTCACACACAGAGATGGCCTCACTTCCAGTGGACAGCTTATATAAACACGTAACTTTTCATTTAGTCGCCATATATACAAAAGGGTATGTATTAACAATGAGGTAACAGTACCTTTGCGCTTTTCCTCCTTCCCCCTCCCTTCTTACTTTCTCCCTCCCTCCCTCTTTGCTTCCCTTCCCAAACGCCCCCTTCCATGTCTTTCCTACCCCTCCCTTCCCCTTTTCCATTGCCCTTCTCCCTGCCTCACAACCACACCGTCCTTGCTCTCTTTTCCTCCTTAGTCAATTTGGTTAGTCCTCATCCCCTCTGATGTTCCCTTGTCTAAGCCACAGGTGTGACTAACTACTGTTAGTCACACTACTGTTAATTTCTCCCCTGGTTTCAGTAGACTAGAAGCTCCATGGGGCCAGAGACCACTGGACACAGACCAGGCAGTCAATAATTATTTTTTGGATGGATGGATGGGTGGATGGATGGAGAGATGGTTGGATGGATGGATGGATGTTTGGATGGACAGATGGACAAATAGATGGATGAATACATAGATGGATAGAGAGTGTCTATGACTCTCAACAGTGGTTTGTCTAAAAGACAATTCTCACTTGTTTGCTTACAGTTTTTCACTAGCCAGTCCCCCTTGGTATAAAATTCCGATTCCTTAAAATGACCCTGGAGCCCTTCGTGACCTGGGTTCTGTTTAGCTTGCGGGCCTCGTCTCCTGCCGTTGCCTCGTTGTGCTCAGAACCATAGTCTTCTTCTTCCTCCCGTTCTCTCTCAGCTCTTCTCTGTCTTGGTCTACCTCTTCCTCCCAAGCTTTTCCCTACTAATTCCTCCCGATGTTTCATAACAAAGCTCCATATTCATGAGCATGTGCTAATAGCCCCTCCCATTCGAGTTCTAGAGCACCCCTGTGACGTCAGTATCTTCAGAGTAGGTGGCGCGATGAGAAGCTGTAGAGCTGATCCTCTAGCCCAGCCTCCATTGCTTCAAATTTTGGCACGCTGCCTGGACCAGCACTATCCCATAATATTCTGCTCCCCATCCAGGGTGGACTTAGGCACCGGACTCTCAGTTCCCCCTTGTGTGAAATGATTTTTGTAAGACCTGTGCCCTAGACTCACTGCTAGGACAAAGAGAGCAGAGGCAGGTAACGTGCTTGGCGCGGCACCACGCATCAGGGGATGGTAGGTTCGTGGAGCCTGGTATGGTCAGAGGGGTTGTGGCCTTGGTGATGGTTGGACTCAGCATACCCCCAGGGCTCTTTTTCACATGCAAGCGTTTATCTCTGATAAGCGGACAAGCACACACTTTGCTAAGATCTCCATTCCTGGTTATGTACTTGAGTGTAATGTCCAGGCTCTTGTTCCTGTCTTTTGGAAAGCTTTTGGTCCCTCTGTTGCTTAACAAGAAACCAGGGAGAAGGCAGGAGCCAAACACGTTTGTCGCCTTTGCTCTCTTGCGGCTGCCACCACTGGTAGTCATTTTCTCCAAGGAAGGGAGAAGGTTGCTCCATTCCTTGACAGTTCCCGGATAAAGTGTGCGGAGGGGGAAGAATGCTCACTGGGCAATCCCTACCAGCAGGCATCAGCATTCCATGAAGCTCTCACTTTTTTAACTCCATATTAACAAGATAGAAGATTCGTCATTTCACAAATAGTTAGTGAATGTCCACTTTGGTTACTATCTACGGCTCAGGCGCTATATTAAATAACGGTGCCTGGTATTGAGTGAAATAGAGGTGTAAGGGGCAAAAACAGTAACTGTCTTATGGGATCTGGGTGACAATCAGGTGAATAAGTTAATGGCCAGGGAATGTGCTTCCCATGCATTAAAATGCTACCCTCACTAGAGCCCAGTGAGTAAGGGAGATGTATGTGCCAACAACCCACAAAGCTAAGAGAATCAGGAACTCCACTGAGTTGGAAAGTCTCTAGGAAGAAAAGCTTCAGCCTCCCTAAGGAGTCTTATTTGTGCCTTTGACTTAAATCACTTCTAATCAGCCTTTGCTGCAAATAATGGATAAGCTTTGCCAAGGAGTACTAGAGGAATCCTGTAGTTCCATCCATCTCTTCCTGCTCTGATGTGTTCTATCTAAAAAGCCTTTTGAATTTTCCTCACACTGTTCCCCTCCCTTTCTTTCCTTTCTCTTCTCTTCTCCATCTCCACTTGGTGTCTTCTCTCTTCTCCCTTGGCTGGGCAGAGGCACAGAGATTACAGACATTGTTATAGCCTTCTCTGTAATACCTTTCCCACCCAAAATGGTTTTCTGGTTTTCATATTGTGAATCCTGTGATGCTATAACACTACCACAAAGCCATTTCAGACAGAGATTGCCTTTTCCTTTTTGCTTTAGAAATGTCCAGTGCCCTACCTCCCACCAACCAGCAATGCAAAAGAAGAAAAAAATGTGGCTAATAGGACAATTTGAGATCTTCCATGCTGCCATCACCAGCTGATCTGTATCTCTTGCTAGACTCCCCGAAACAAATTAGAGCCAGTCGCTACACTGAGTCCTGATTACTTTTCTCAGCAGTGCAAAGGAGAGCTCTCTGAGGGTCTAGGGCTAATGATCTCAGCAGAGAAAAATTCAGAAGTCGCTGCAGGCTGAGATCAGTGGGGATGAGGCATTGTCTCCCCAGGGAAGGAGTAGAAGAATCCCTCCTTCCTTCTTCCCCCCCACCTCACCCAATACTCCTCTTCCTGAGTCAGACTGGACAGAGCTCTGAGGAGCTTAGTGGTATGGAATGACCTCATGTGGCGAAGAGGAGGAGAGATAAGATGGCTCCAGGACCTCCTTCCAGCTCTGTCTTTCATGGTTCTAGACGGTTTCCTCCCAGAATCCTCAGTCCGAGGGGAGAAATGGTCTGTGCTCACCTCTTTTTTGCTGAAGGTTTCTGGTTCTTCTGTCATTTCAAGCAGGTTGTACTGAAAGCAGTACTGCAGGGATCCTAGTTTATTTTAGTGGCCTCTGCATGCAGTAGGGAGAATAAAGAGTATGAACTTCAAGATGAGACAACACTGGGTTCTAATGCTGACCTTCACATCAAGCTGTGAGACTTTGATCAGTTCACTCCACATTTCTGAGCCTTAGTTGCCTCACCTCTGAGATGAGTCTTTGCAAGAAGTAAGCAAGTTCAGGAGATGTATGGGTATTTGGCAAATGTGTGTCCCTCCCTTCTTTCCATCTGAGGCAGCAAAGCCTACAAGTAGGATAGGAAGAAAGAAAGTTGGGGCATTGACTCAAGAGTAAGATACTCACTTGAATGTAGTTTTGGCCAAATGTTTGGTGATTCATCCGAGAACTGTATCGCAGGGGTGGAGACGAGCTCTCTGTTGTGCCTATAGCTGATACACTAGAACACTGAGAATCTTCCTTCTGCATTCCCCTTTCTCTGAGCTCAGGTTAGGCCAGTCTCTCCTAGCGTCTACAGGGCTTTCAGGAACTCATACCCTCATCTCTTCTCCATAGGTCATCCAGATGTTGAACAGCCCTGTAAGTCCAGTGTCCGCACCTGGAGTCCAAATTCAGCTGTCAACCCACACACAGTCCCTCCAGCCTGCCCTGAGCCACAAGGCTGCTACCTTGAACTGGAATTCCGCTACCCCTTGGTCCCTGAGTCTTTAACCGTCTGGGTGACCTTTGTCTCCACTGATTGGGACTCTAGTGGGGCTGTCAATGACATCAAACTGTTAACTGTCAGTGGGAAGAACATCTCTCTGGGCCCTCAGAACGTCTTCTGCGATGTCCCACTGACCATCAAACTCCGGGATGTGGGTGAGGAGGTGTACGGCATCCAGATCTACACATTGGATGAGCACCTAGAGATTGATGCGGCCATGTTGACCTCCATTGCAGACAGCCCTCTCTGTCTAGAGTGTAAGCCTCTGCAGTACAAGGTGGTCCGGGACCCTCCTCTCCACGTGGACGTGGCCTCCCTCCTATACCTCAATAGAAGATTCACGGACACGTAAGTGTGCTCTCTGGCTAGGGAGATGGTCAGGTGGGTGGGGTACAGAGAATGTAAGGAGGCTCAGAGAGGCCTGTCCTAGAAGGAGGTTCATGACTTCTAGGGATTCATAACCTGGCATTGACTGTAGTACTGTCCTAACATGGCAGGGGCGATACGGTGGGAATCGTAATACACAAGGAACCAGAAAGCCTGCCTGGGTTTTTGGTGAGAGCTCTAATGTAACGCTAAGACTCCCAGACCTCTCTTAGTTGTCCCAACAATAAAATGAAAGAGGCTGAGTAAGATTAGCCACAAGAAAGCCATGTATGACTCATGAAGTTGGAAGAGCTGAAGTTTGAAAAATATTTCCTTTTTATATTTAATTGAAGAAGATTTGTGCATTGTGATTGCTTTTCCAGTGAGTGAGAAGAGAATGAAGTTATACCAGGATGCCTAGAAATTGAGCATGTTTCCATGTATTTGCATGAGAATGTTCCTGGAAGGTGAATATAGCCAGTCACAGTCCTTTTTGGTTCCCTTTTCTGAAGTGGGAGAGAGGTTCATACTCATTTGATCCTTAAGAGTCCATAAAGCTCTAGGTCTCCAGGAGCCTTCGGGGATACACACAGCTTCTCTGTGAGATAGTGCTTGTCCATAATATTCATTTCTCAAGCCACCTCTTCCTCAGACTTCCTCGGGATTTGTTTTAGGAAAGAGACCACCTTACGATGACCTCATTAATGCTTTGCTTATATGCCAGACAGTGGGCTGAGATCCTCACATCTTTTACTCATTTCATCCTCTCCATAACCACAGCCCAATTATCCTTCTTGTTTTACAAAGAAGGGAATGACGGCTTAGAGATGTGAAGTCATTTGTCTAAGATCACATAGTTAGGGAGTGGTGAGATCAAGGTTCTATCCTGACTCCTAACCCAGTGCCTTCAACCAATTCAATTAAAGATGTGATTTCAATTTCTGCTTTAATCTAACCGACCTAACTTGGGTCCCAAGAATCTATGAAGTTAATCACTAGACTTTGGTTGAACATCTACTATGTGCAACGGATATGGGCAGGGAACACTTGAACACTTGGATACTGACAAGAACAATAGCTCAGAAGTCAGATACCTTGTGTTTAGCTCCAGCCAGCCCACCTACTAATTTTAGGTAAATCCGTCAATCTCTTTGAGCCTTGCTTCCCTCTTCTGTGTGATGAAAATTCTCAAGTCAGTGGCTTCTCTGCACCTTTTGTGGCACTTTCTTTGGTTCTAAGATGATATAAGGCCCGATCTCTGCTCTGTCTACTTGAATATACTCACTGAGCCAATCATTAATAGAAACCAAATTTTGGAGGAAACTTTTAATCTTTTTAAGAGACAGAACCACTTTCAAACACTTTACCAGCACTCCCTTTTACATGCCAGCAATTAACGTGCACATCACAAGCAGACCCATGCCCATTCATTGACTCAGAGATGAAGAACATCTGGTCAAGAACTCAGAGGGAGCACTCGGTTTGTGTTTGAGAATGTACTTAAAATTTAAAGGATCATCTTGCCTTGAAAATATTTCATAACTCTGTCTCTTTCATCTTCTTGCTCGTCTAGAGTGGTAAAGCTCTATAGATATGCATCCACTTAAAATTTCTTTATAAAACAATGGAGAGAAGAAGTCATAGATGCCTTAAACTCTCAGCTTAAACACAGCTTTCATTTTCTGCCTGGAGTTGTGCGCCTGTAAGACCCGACATGGGCTGGCAAGTATGGAAGGGCAGAAATTCAACTGAAGACGTGGGAGCCTCCTGAGTTCCATTCCCGGATAGTCTTGAACTTGCTCTACAATCTTAGGCTAGTTGCTTACTTACCCTTTCTAGCTTTCAGGGGCCTTAATATATAAAGAAGTCATACTAGATTAGGGGTTCTCCAAGTCAGTTGCATGTCATGGAAATTTGGAGCATTTTTAAATCCCTTGTGTTTCCCCAGCATCCCCTCTATGACCCCTCCTCCACCCCCATCCCACCCCCAGGTATTGAATTAACTGGTAAGGGGGATAAAGCCAGGCCATCAGAACTTTTAAAATCTCACTGGATGATTATAATGTGCAAACACGTTTAAGAGCCACTGCACTAAAGCAGGTTCTTAAAGTAGAGCCCCAGACCAGCAGCAGCAGGACCCAAAAACTTAGGGCAAGTCCTTAGATCCCAGCCCAGACAACTGAATCAGGAACTCAACTGTGGGGTCTTCCCAAATGACTCTAAAGCAGGTTCCAATTTAATAGCCACTGCTGTAAGTGATCTGGAAGGCTCAGGGATTTCCAGGGTCTCTTTCCCAGTACTTATTCAGTTTACAAATATGTTTTGAGAATGTTCTGTGTGCCAGAGTGTTCCCTGGGATCTAGGTATTTCAGGGATGACCTGACCCCTTTCCTATAGACATTCACTTTGGTACTGAGGACTTTAACCACGTGGTTAAAAACACCCAGTCCTGTGCCACTTTGCTTCCAGAACAACCACTCTTCAGACCCGCACTCTCATATCCCATTCAGTCTTTGATTCACTCAACAAGTCTTTCTTAGGCCCCGCTACAGCATTTCAGACACACGGACTAGACTGAGGCCTTCATGGACTTCCTCTATGTCTTTCTCGAGTCCCAAGGAATTTACTAGAGACCTAGACTGGACTACATTTCCTGACCTGAATGTTCTCTGAGACTCTAAAAAGAGTAAAACATCATTCCAAGTCAACCTACCATTTCAACTCCTTTATCCCTTGGTAATTTGAGTTCTGAACTCCAACACAAATACATTTGTGTGTGTGTGTGTGTGTGTGTGTGTGTGTGTGTGGTGCGGTATGGTGTGTGTGGTGCATTTTTCTGCTTTCACATTTTTTCCATATCAAAAAAATTGGCTCTTATACAAGTTCTATATAAAGACTGTTTTGGAGAAAAAGAGGAGAGAGGGAAAAAATGCTTTCTTTTTCTTCCCTGACTCAACCCATTACATGGTTCCCTTTGACCTTTGTCTTCATTTTTTTCCCTCAACAAAAATATTTATTCTTTCCTTTATCTGTGCTGGAGATAGTTTCCCAAGGTATGACATTGATGAAGGGAGAGGCTTCTGTGCTTACCCAATGGACACTACTAGGAGAGTGATTACTTTTGGCCAGGAAGAGGAAGAAATGTGGAACTTCTCTGTTCTATGGAAGCCCGTCCATTGAATGAGAAGGGACACTGGTGGAGGAAAAGGGGACCAGCATTGACTCTGCTACAAACTCACTATATGTTGTGCAGACACATTGTATCATGGCTTTGGGCTTCAGTTTCCCTCTTTGTAAAATGAGGGGGCAACACACTAAACTTTTCTCTGTGGGTAGACATTGTTTTTGGGTGACAGGTGATTCATTCACTTTTTGGTAGTAAAAAAGACTTAGCAGAGACTGTCTATAAGAATCAGTACCCAGAGGGCACCTCACTGATTGACTGTGATGCCCTAGTGCAGTGTGTAGCGTGTGGACAATAATAATAAAAATAACAATAACGCCAACCACTTGCTGAGTATTCTCTCTGCTTTAAGTACCTTGCCAAATATCTATGAGGCAGCAAAGCTCAGAAGAAAAGCTGAAGCTCAGAAAAGTGATTTATTCGACCTAATACAGCTGGTAATGACAGAGGCAGGTTTAAAACCCACATCTAATTCCAAATAATACCTTCTCAACCGTAACACCATACTGCCTTCTACTTTAATAATGCAAAAGCAGAATTCTGGAGCTCTGACATTCATGCAAGCTGGCTCAAGTCTGAGGTACAGCAAGTGGAAGAGAGGATATGACTCACGAGCCACCAGCCCTCCCATCAGCTACTGTGACCCACTCTGGGAGTCCAGCAATGCAATTTACATGGCCAGTTCTTTATGCCTCTGGCTAGGAAGAAAGAGCAGGGAAGCTTCTGTTTCTCGACTTGACTGTCAAGTGCTTCTGTACTGGCCACTGTGCAACTTGGGTCTATATGGGATCTTTAAATCACTCAGAGAAGGAAAAACTCTGGGTAAAACTAAGGCTTTTTTGTTTGTTTGTTTGTTCTTAGAAAGTGAGGTATAAAGCAAACCAGAAACAATAATAGCAGTTCACTGTCTTCCTTTATGCATCTATCCTTCTATCCATCCCTAATTCATTCAGCAGATATTTAACAGTATCTGTCAGATAGCATACACTGTGCTAGGAAATGATGATATTGTGGTGCCAGGACAGGCATGGAGGCTGAGCTCTGGGTGCTCACACTGGGGGAGAAGAGATAGGGAAGCAGTGTCACTGCAGGACAGTAGTGCCCTGAAGGCAGAGACAGAGACAAAACGTGGCTTCTAACTCAAACTTGGAAGAACCGAGGTACAATTAAGGAATAAAGAGCCTGTTGGTCTGCTAGTGCTTTCCAAGTGCCTAGAACAATTACAGGCACCAAGTAGACAGTGAGTATTTTTGAGTGGCTGTTAAATGAAGAATGGGAAGGAGTTTAGTGGTTGAAGAGAAATGGAGAAGCGAGGATTTACTGAGCACCTACTATATGTCAAGAACTTACTAAGGGTGTTACTCAAGTAATCTCATTTGATTTGATCTGCATAGCAGCTCTACAAAGTAGGTGGTCTTCTTCCCAGATTATAGATGAGGATCTGGCTCTCGTACTTTCAACAGCTGTCAACCTGCCTGGCTGGGGTTGGGTATAAATCCATCAACTCCAAAGCTAGTGCTCTTAGTCCTTCATTCTCTGGTTGAACGGATATGTGTCTGTGCCTCTCTCTCAGAATTTTTGATGTAGAACTAGAAATATTCTTAGAAGTCACTTCTCCCATTTGGCTTGTATGTGTATCTCAAGTATTCTACTGATTTTTCTGTCACGTTCAGACTTGTTAACCTGCAACCATAGTCTCTGTCTGTTTTGCCTCAGCTTCTTGGCATTCTTAATATAATTCTTAGGGGAAATGAATAAGCAAAAGGAAAGGATTCATTTATAAGACCTGAGTGGAATT